GTCGTGCTCCCAGCGCTGCACTCTCCCGAGGGCGCCACAGGCTCGGCCCCTAGTTCTAGGTTCTTTTTTTTTAAAAAAAGATGACTGGTAAGGGGATCTTAACCCTTGACTTGGTGTTGTCAACACCACGCTCACCCAGTGAGCGAACCGGCCATCCCTATGTGGGATCCGAACCCGGGGCCTTGGTGTTATCAGCACCGCACTCTCCCGAGTGAGCCACGGCCCTAAACCTAACTTTCCTTCGCACTAAGCCAGTGAGCGCATCGCACCGGCCATCCCTATATAGGATCCGAACCCGCGGCGGGAGCGCTGTCGTGCTCCCAGCGCTGCACTCTCCCGAGGGCGCCACAGGCTCGGCCCCTAGTTCTAGGTTCTTTTTTTTTAAAAAAAGATGACCGGTAAGGGGATCTTAACCCTTGACTTGGTGTTGTCAACACCACGCTCACCCAGTGAGCGAACCGGCCATCCCTATGTGGGATCCGAACCCGGGGCCTTGGTGTTATCAGCACCGCACTCTCCCGAGTGAGCCACGGCCCTAAAACTAACTTTCCTTCGCACTAAGCCAGTGAGCGCATCGCACCGGCCATCCCTATATAGGATCCGAACCCGCGGCGGGAGCGCTGTCGTGCTCCCAGCGCTGCACTCTCCCGAGTGCGCCACAGGCTCGGCCCCTAGTTCTAAGTTCTGTAAGAGAGGACTCTCCTGATTGGAATGTTGGGCTTATGGCATTCCTAATTCTTCCACATTCTTGCAACAGCTATTTTACTTTCTTTCTTTCTTTTTTCCTTGTGGCTGGCTGCTATGGGAATTGCAACCCCTTGACCTTGGTGTGGTCAACACAGTACTCTCACCACCTGGCCTAACTGGCCAGCCTCTGCACTTTTACTATTAAGTAACAACGGCAAAGAATATTGCAGTGGGGGGACACAACACTTTGACACCATGGGAACAAGATTTTGGCTTTTTCTCCTTCTTCCAACTGAAACACCTAAATGTCTATCTTTTCT